GGGACCATGACCTCCGGGGAGGAGGAGCTGTGACAGAGGCATCTGAGAATCCCAGTATTTTCCAGATGGGCCCAGGGCAGGTGATCTCAAATTCTTACTGCACCAGGTGACAGCCAGACATTTAGGTGGGAGAGGAAGACATAAATCACAGTATGGTATTAAAAAAACAAAATGGCAGCCACTGGTGACTTTTGGGGTGTTTCCAAAGTGAGGAAGTTGAAGAGTTTGTAGTCAGCCTGGCCGATTTATAGTTTTGAATTTGTGCCCAGAAACTGTTTGCAGAGAGTATTTTTAGAAATATGAAAATAAATACAGTTAAATTAGAGAGATGTGTCAAGCATTTTTTTTTCTTGTTTTAAGACAGTCCTCTGACCATTACAGCTTAGGTAATGACAACTGTTTGAATAATGGTGCTATATTTTCTAATTAAACAACCAAGGCTGTCCAATCATTACATTAACACAGATAAAAGTCATAAAGCTAGACCCTAAAAGAAAGGAGATTTTAAATAGACAGAAATAGCAATAAAAATTGAAATATTTTCTTCTGTGTTGTATTAACATTTTGTGGCCTGAGCATAAAGTCCCTTCTCACATTTGAATAGCTCTTTGGCACTTGATGTCAAATAGCCTGTGGAATGGAGAACCCACACATACACACACGAATCAGGAAAACTGGAGTTTGTATCTAGCTGACTGGCTGTGTGGTCTCGAGCAGGTCTCTCAGCCTCTCAGAATCTCCGTTTTTCCTTCTACAAAATGTGAGCCAAAGTCATCTCCACAACGGGACTTTGGGGATTAAATAAGGTTGTGTAAACGGAGTAGGTGTTTGTAACATCGTAATCAGCAGGAAAAGGATTTGCTATAATTTCATTTCTTGTGCTTTTTTTCCTAAACCTAATCAAATACATCTCAACTATCACATAACTTGGCTAAAAAAATAAATCCAGCTTCCAAGTGACTCCTTCCCGGGTTGGTATGAGAGCTGGTAGAGAGTCACAGAAGTTTCCCAGACTAAGGATTTCATCACTCTGGGGTTTTGCTTAGACCAGAACAACTCAGTACAGGGCTCTGCCGGTACCCGCTGCTTCCCTCTCAGGAGCACATTAGTTCCTGGCTGTTGACCCCTCGCACCCAAAGATCTGACAATGAGGGGAAAATTGCAGGCAACTACCAAGTCCAGTCAAACTGAGGTTTTGCCATCAGTAATTATGGCAACTGGAAGTTACTTGAACATGCATGATATGATCAAAAACTGTAGTGAATGTTTAAATTTTAAAATAATGTATTACAGTTAAAGGTGCATTGCCCTTAACCCCCCTCAAAATATGCTCTCAAACTGAACAAATGTTTCCTGCCATTCTTGCCACTTTCTGAAGCAGTTCTGGAAGTCCTTTTGCATGAGTTTCCTTGGTTGCCGAGTTGTGGATGCGTGAAGTGATTCAAAACATTTACCTTTTGTGGTCATTTTTACTTTGGGAAGAGCCAGAGTTGGGGTGCGAGATCTAGTGAATAAGGCAGATAAAGACACACTATACAGTTTGTGTCTGACACAAATTGCCACAAATTGTTGATTAATGGGAGAAGTAAAAAATATGGTGAATGTTCAAATTTTTAAAATTTTGCAGTGAAAGACACATTATCATTCATCCTCTTCAATAGACTCCCCCTTACTTTGAACACAGTTATCCCATAGTTCTCAGCAATATGTTTTTACTGTAATTTTTTTTTTTTGGTACCGGGGATTGAACTCAGGTCCTTGTGCTTGCAAGGCAGGCCACTGAACTGCTGAGCTAAATCCCCAGCCCCTACTGTAATGTTTTTTAAAATTTAAACACTCACTGCATTTTCACGTACCCCTTTGCCCTTCTGTACACAAATTGTGACTGTGTGTGTGTGTGTGTGTGTGTGTGTGTTAAGCCATCACCTATTTGCTGCTGAAGTTCCAGTTGGGATAACACACCTCAGGGTGCTTCACTGCCACCAAATAGGGCGCAGACAGACACAGGTATGAGACAGACATAAGCACACAGGATCACAGACTCAGGCTAGCTGAGTCGGCAGAGGTGTCTCACTGGGGAAAACGCTCTGTCAACCGGTGTGGTGCATGTTAGAAGTGGACCCTTGGCGGTGACATAAAAGGCTTGTGGACTGACTAGGGTGCATTGGAGACCCCGTGCACCGTCTGAGTCCTGCATGGTCCCAATGGCCATCGTTGGCTCAATCGGTCCTGTTTGTGTCACTGCCTTTGCATCTGTCTTCCTTGAGGACAAACTCAAAGCTTTCTCTTCATGGAACAGCTGTGCCTCTGCTGCTTTCTTTTTTCTGCCTTTGCTTGCATAGTGCCAGTGTGGGATTTGTTACAGACCTGCCAGTGTCAAGCACACAGTTCCTGGCTCTAGTGGCTGGCCCGACAGGATGACCTGCAGGTGTCCTGCATTAGAAACCAGGACTGGCTCCTGTGCTCTTTCTGGGCCTCCTTGGCTACTCATCAGTTTGGAGGGTGTTCAAGCTGCTGATCCTGAGCTCCAGCGGGACCATCCAGGCATGGGCCTCAGGGGCTATTTGCTTTGGAACTGCTTGTGTGCCCTGTCACTTCTGGGCTCCTCTCTGATCCAGAATCTGCCTGGTCCATGGCTGCCCTGTCTTCCTCAGGATGAGAACTTTCCTCATCCTGTTCACTTCCATGCACTAACATGGATGGAAGGGGGTCAAGAAGGGCTCTGCAGGTGAACAGAGCCCCTGGCACATATTCTTGGGGCTCCAGCTGTTCCTATGCTCTACCCATCCATGCATCAAGCATTTCCTGTCACCTCTTGTTCTGCTTTAGAGCTGAGATGTCCTCCAAAGACTCATGTACTCATAGGTGGGGCTTCTGAAGGGTAACTGGAGTAGGGGAGCTGACAGCTTACTTGCTTTTGGGGGACAGGATCTGTTCAGAAGTGGGCACTCTGGGCATGGCCTATTGGGGTCTGTCTCCTTCCAGGCCCCTCCTTGTCTCTCTGCCTCCCGGTACCATGTTGTGAGCAACACTCCTCAGCTTTCTTCCCCCGGGCCACCCTGCCTTGGAGCCAGCCAACCATGGACTCAAACATGAGCCAAAGTAAACTTTTTCTCTAGGTTGTGGGCATCATTGTGTCCTGGTGATGAGGAAAGTCGACTAAGTGGGGGAGAGGATTGGAGAGCTGATGCACGATGATACTCAGCCCAACTGTCTCACTAGCACTGAGGTCTCTGGGACACATGTGACTTGCTTCATTCCTTCCCTAGCTCTTCATCAATCAAATGGTGGTCACAAGTGCTAATCCCCCACGGAGCTATGAAGATGAAGAAAACCACTGCCCTCAGAGCCCCTTCCACTGGGTTTATCAACTTGGGCATTCTTTATCACATTGGTATTATTTATTGTTTATGTGATTTTAACGACCAGCTCCTATTCCCAGCCTCTTGACACTTACGACAGGGCCTATTTCCTGGGATTGCAGCCACTCTTTTCCTCAGAGCTGCTTGATTTCCCACTCACTGAACTCCTCTACTGGCAAACTGGGGAGCGGGGGTGGGTTTTTCATCCTTTGGAAACTATTAAGACCTTTTCTCTAAGTTTATTCCAAAAGCCCTCAGTTAACACATTTAAAATGGATTCTAGCTTTTATACATTTAACTGAGAAGCAACTCCTTATACCATTCATTCTTCCAACAAAAATTTTATTATGCACGCTTCCATAATAAGATGTTGAAGGACAGTGGTGACCCAGACATCTTGTTCAGCCCTCAAGAAGTGCAGAGTGTTTTAGGACACACGGGTAAGTAAACCAACAGTGCAGAATAATGTGCTAACTGCCCCGCCCCAGGGTGTACGGGAGTGTGAGGGAAGGCAGGTGGACACATCTGTACATCCACAGATTGCACCCTGGGAAGCTGTTCTGTTATTATTTCCTACACGAGGCTCAGTCCTCCGTGATTCTCTACGTACGCCATGATCCGGATCTTGTTTTTTTAGATGTCTAGTGTTCCGTGTGAGAGTCAGTGTTACATAAAATTTATTGCCTAACAGGAAGAAAAGGTCTAAAAGAGTAGGGGAAGTGGGAGTGGTAGGGGAAAGGTAAGAAAAAATGTGAGAAAAGGAAAAACATGGAAACAATGTCTTTGTAAACAGGGAAGAGTGGAGGGGCTGAAGGGAGGGCTGGGGAAAAAATAAGGACCAAGGTCTGTCATGTAAAGGTGCAAGATCCCAATGATGAATGTAACTGTATTATATACCTAAAATGTACCAATAAACTAAAAAAAAATTATTGTTCCTAAAATATAGCCATGTATGTTTTGTACCATAGGTAAGTTAACATGTAATATGAATTTTTTTTTTTTGTGATACCAGGGATCTGAGGACCTTGCACTTGCGAGGCAGGCACAGTGCCACTAAGCTAAATCTCCAGCCCTGTAATATGAATTTTAACCCTAAAGTTGGAATTTGTAGGCAGGGATTTGAAATGGAATGGCCTGGACAGAATGCAAAACTGTGTTAAGACAATTTGCCAAGTGAAAGGGACAACTCAGGGAAGAGCTCCCCTCCTGCTCTGTGTGGCAGCAGGTTTGGGGCACCTGCAGAAACCACTCAAGAGTTTTAGAGAGGGCAGGACCGCAGTACTTTCTATCTTTTAGCTGGGGCGGAGGTTTTCCCTGGACGTGAAGGCAGCCACGGAGATGTCTCAGAGAAAGGAGGGCTTCCTCTGAAGATAGACGAGTCCCCTGCTTTATTCAGGAAGGCTGTCAGTACTCCAGCTCCCCACTCTGGGCTGGCGGGTCACATCTATGAAGGATTTACCCAGATCTTTCTCCATGTACAACAGTCTGATTCCCCGGAGTGCTGATGGGGTATTTCATGTTTCCGTTCGGAAAGTGGAACGCACAGGACATGGGGAGAGACGTCTGCTGCTTGTGACGTTCTCTCTCATAGTGTAGGCACTGGACAGAAGGTTCCACGATCTCGGGCAAATCGTGTGTGGCAAGGGGTTCCACGCTTTCTAATCACCGAGTGTCACCAACCTCTTCCCAGAGTCAAGGTTGAATCTGTGAGGCACAGAGGTGAGGCTGATGGGAAGAGTAAGGACTTCAGAGACCTGGGCACAATACTGCCTCCATCTGTCTGAGTGGCTCTGATCAGGTGCCTTAACCTCTCTGACCTGTTGTTTTATCTAGGCAATACAGGTAATGTTAACTTTCTATGTTTGTAGTAGAATTTAAGTGATAAGTGGTGAAAACTAAATGGCATGCAATAAGCACTAGAAAAATGTTAGTTTCCTTCCCTTCCTCCCTCTCTGTCCTTTACAAGATCCCCAGAGAGCACCAACAAAAGAAGATCACAGCTGTACTTGCATCTGTATGATCACTTCCACTGAACAGGGGGAGAAATAGAGATCAAAATTAGAGAAATGATTAAGATAAGTTTTGTGGAATAATATATTACTAAAATAGGAACTTGGAAGAAGTTTTCACCTTCCAGAAGTGGCTGACGTGTTTGGTAAACATAAATCTTGATTGAATGCCTGGATCAATAGGCTGTCTGGCAGACAGACTACACCATTGCTCCCAGCCCTGCCTCTACCCCTACAGATGGAAACACGGTGCCTTACCTTTGTCAGACACTCGCAACAGATCTATATAATATTTCACATATCCCTCCAAGAGACTCTCAGAAGTAGACTGAAGAGGAATTATGGCCTCTCTTTTGCAGATGACAGCACTGAGATACAGAACCTTTGTCTGTGAGGAGAGTCACAGCAGAAAGTGGATTTCTTTTTGATGCTGCCATGGTACTGCTTGACTACCCAATGCCCACCTTCTCCCCTGTATCCTGCATCACACTGTGCACATCCTGTATTCCTCTCCTACACTGGGCTGTGAGTTTAACGAGGTGGGTCCCACGCTCCCAAGTCAAAGCCAATGCTGGCAAATCTGGAGGGAAAGGGGGAATATTAAGTGTCATTGTCCATTTGATGCTGCTGTAACAGAAGACCCTTGACTGGATAATTTATACAGAAGTTTATTCCTTATGGTTCTGGAGGCTGGGAAGCCCAAGGTCTTATCTGCTGAGGGCCTTTGGCCTCATGACACGGCAGCAGGCAAAAGGGCAAAAAGAGCAGGAAACCAAGCTCATGCTTTTATCCAGAACTCACTCCTGTGACAACTAACCCACTCCACTGATTGTGGAATCATCCATTTATGAGGGCAAAGCTCTCATGAATTTATTACCTCTTTTTTGGTATCGAGGATCGAACTTAGGACCTTACGCTTGAGAAGCAGGTGGCGGAACCACTGAGCTAAATCCCTGGCACACAAATGTATTACCTTTTAACCTCTGCCTCCCAATACTTGCAGCAGGGATTAAGTTTTCAACACACGAATTTGGGGATGCATTAAAGTACAACACTAAGCAACACCGCTTGACCAGTGGCATTTAGAACACACAGGTGCAGTGCTTGCTTTTGGCTGTGGCTGCGTGTAGCAGCAGCCCTGACCAAGGAGTCTGGTGGAAGACTTGTGCTTGCATCTAGGGTGAGGCTTTTCAAACTTAAATTTGTCTCTGAGTCACTGAAGCAGATTATTAAAACGCAATTCTGGGTCCCACACCTGGATTTCTGATTCCATAGGTCTGGGGTGAAATGTGAGAATTTGCATTTCTAAGGAGTCCCTTGGGGATGCTAATGCTACTGGCCAGGAAGCCAGACCTGGAGAACCACTGGTCTTAGGAAGTGTAATGTATTAGGGTCACTTGGGGAGTTTGAAAAATTCTAAAGCTAAGACTGCCTCCCAGACCAAATTATTCTGAGTCTCTGGGGCCCAGGTGCAATTGGTTTTAAAGCCCCCTAAGTGATTAGTGTGTGCGTCCATGTTTAACAACTAACTCTGGGAGTTCCGAAGGCCTGGGTCCAAGGCCCAGGTGTGACTATGTGGTGGTGGCCAGTAGGGTAAATGAGTGATTCCTAAGTATATCAGGAGGTGGGGTAGCATGCATGCTACTCTTTGTGAGCACACATCGAACGTACTTTCAATGCAGTCCTAATGTATTGCCCATTCAAAAAATTAAGCAAATGTGGGGTTTTTACATTTGCTTCAAAGGGGGCATAATTTTTGATGTGCAGGAAAGAGTTTCCAGAGGAGGTTGTGGTGCTAGTTGGATGGGCTGATTTGTTTGGTTGGCGTCTGGGAACTTGGCTGCTGGAGCTCTCCCCACATCACTAACTGATAAGTCAATTTGGCTTTTTATGCCCGGGGTACTGGATTCTGCTGCACCACTTGCACTGGTGGTTTGTACAATGTAATGGTGCCGCTTTCTTTCCTTAGGGACTGCGTGTGTAGGTGATAAGTCGCCAGTAAAAACCCTGAATTGTGAGTCTTCGGTGTGTTTCATAGGGCAGAAATAATACCCACGCGTTGCTGTATTGCATTGCTGGAGGAAAAAGCATGTTCTGTGTGATCATCCGGTTGGGAGGGAGAGTTGCAGTTGGACTGCAATCCTGCAGTTGGACTCCTCTAGCTTTGCAAAGTGGTTTTCCCATGCTGATCCTGCTGTGTATCCTTCCACTTGATAAGACACAGCTGCCTCTGGGTCCCACAAGTCCTTTCGGAAAATGACCACCTGTGTGGGTGTTTGTGGGTCTCAAAAAATGCGAATATTTTAAAATATAAAATTATAGATAAGTTTGAGTAAGAAACATATTGGGAGTAGTGGTTTTTAGGTATCATGCATATTTAGAGATAGTTTACACAAGAAAAGGGTGTAATTACAAGAATTAGAAAAAGGATAGCAGGTAAATTTGACATTTCTGAAACCACGTAGAGATTGATTGGGATGAGTCTCAAAGGAGTTTAGGCAGACTATGGAGGATAAAATCATCAGTAGAAGGCATGGCCAGGGCACATACACCAGGGGCTCCCAAGTACTCACTGTTGGCCTGTCCATTTCCTCGCCATCCCTGTGCTTGTGTGTGATGGCAGAGCCCATTTTCTGGATCAATAGCCACTATAGTGTCTGGCTTTTTCTGGCAGCTCCTCTGTGTCACCAAAGAAGGACCAACTACCTACACCTCCTGCCGAGAGGGAGCAGGATTGAAGGAGTTATAAACAAAAGGTCTTAGAAAGTCAAAAGGCATCAGACTTGATGGATGTTCTCTGAGGATCTTGACTTTGAGAGTCGGAGATTGAGTCTCCAGGAGTCTAAGCTTCAGAGTCCTCATCTGTAAGGTGCACACAATGCCTGTCCATTCTCTTCCCATTGTTGGGAAGATGAAACCAACTTTCTATCAAAGCTGGGCAAGCAGCCCGGAATCCAATGTTTCCATGTGACAGAGGAGGAAAAGAAGGAAAGGCCATAACTTGGCTCTTCCATTCAGGTAAATTCAGAGGAAGGACTAGAATGCAGGTCTCTGAATCCTCCCTGTTTTGGCTCTTGCACACATTAAATTTCTGCAGCTAGACAAAAGTAGAGGCAAGCATGCCTGCTGTGTGAAGCATGCTTGAAGCTTTCTGTATAATACTCCATTTACTTCTCATGACAATTAAAGATGAGAACAATGGGAGACACACACGACTCGCTTGTGGTCACTTGGGATCAGTCTTTAATTTAAACTCAGATCTATTTCTCAATTCTTATCTTTTACGTGTTACTTCTCCTGGTAAACAAAAGAGATAGCCATTCCTAAATGCTGACTGAGTGCCAGGTATGCTAAGCTCTGTCCACATCATCTATTTAATGCTTGTGATGGTGCCAGGAATGGATCATGACCTCATCATCTGATTTAACCCACTCCTAAGGTAATAAGGTTTCTGTTAAATCAACACTGAGCATGTGGTAAATTTTTAAATCTAAATGCCAGACCCAGGATTCTGAGCTCAAGCCAAATGTTAGTGATGGAGATTGCAACTCTGATTTAGGGGAGTCTTGTGGTCAAAGCTTTTTCTAATTGAACACACAAGGCTTAACTAACTGAAATCAGCCTTTGCCCCAAGCATTCTTGGAATTCCATCTTCCCAAAATGGTAAGGTTAAGAATTTGGTAGTAACATTTATTTGAGTTTGATTCTGACCATTGATTCTGCAAGGATTTATGCAAGTTAATCTCTGAGCCAGTTTCTTCATTTAAACAATGGAGATATAAACATAAAAAACTTCCTTCTTAAATATTCAATAATTAGTCCACCAGACACTAAACTCTTAGTGTGGACATCCATGGAGATTTATTGTCATGCTGGACAACCTGGGGGTGGGGTGCTTGAGAAGATTTCTAAGTAGGAATCAGTGCAGTGTTGTCAGTTTAGTCTTTCCTCTGTGTTCCATTTTCCCTACATATGAATGTGGTAGTGAAGTTAGGATAGATAGGGGGGATTTGGAGGATGACAGCAAGAAGGAAAGGAAGTTGGAAGGTCGGCTAGAGAAGCCAAGGAGACCCACAAATTGAGAAGAGTTTTCCTTGAAAAACTAAGAGAAGTGGTTAAATCAGTTGTCTCTTGCTATAACTGAATACCACAGACTAGACAGTCTACAAAGAAAAGAAAAGTATTTCTTACTCATGTGGAGGTCAGGAAGTCCAAAATTAATAGGCCTCCCTTGGTTAAGTCCTTCTTGCTAGTGGGGATTCTACAGAGTTTGGAGGTGGTGAAGGCATCATATGGTGATGGAGGGAGCTTGGCTTTCTCTTATTTCTCTTGTATAACCACTCAAGCTGTCATGGAGGTCTGTCTTAGTCATTTTCCCATTGCTGAGACAAAATACCTGACACTCACAACCTAACAAAGAAGAAGTATATTATGGCTTATGGTTTTTAAAGAACCAGTCCACAGTGGGCTGGCTCTGAGGCAGAAAGGGCATGGTGGAAGGGCCTGGAGGAGGAAAGCTGCTCCCATCATGGTGACCAGGAAGCAGGGAAAGCAGAGAGGAGCCGGGGTAAGAGATTCACCCTTCCAACTCATGCCTCAGTGAGTAGCCTGTTCCAACTGGGCCCTACCTCCCAACAGCACATTCAGCTGTGGCTTCATCACTGATGAGTACAGTGCCCCAATGATCTAATCACCTTCTAAGAGCCGCCTCTGAACACATGAGACTTTGGGGGGATCTTTTAGGTGTAAACCATAGCAGGGCCTCCCCTCATGATCTCATGTAATCCTCATCATCTCCCCAAAACCCCGTCCCCAAACCCCAATCCCCCAAACCATTAACAAATGGTTTTGGGGATTAAATTTCTATGTGATTTTTAAAGAAGACAAATACTCAGATCATACAAGAAAGTTGCTTTTGAAATCAAGAAACTAGAGGGAGCAGAAGAGACTCTCTTGAGTGCTACTGTGTATCAGTCAAGTTTTAGAGTAGTGGCTAAGCAGGGGCGGTCTCTGGGGGTTGACGGCCTGGATGAAATCTTGATTCCCTCATTAGGTGTGTGACCTTGGAAAGGTTTCCTAGCTTCTGTGTGGCATTTTCCATTCATACAATGAGGATGATAATAATATACAGCAATTTTTGATGTGAAAAGTGAATTAATCTAGGGTAAGTGCTAAAAACTGTCTAGCAGAAATTAAGAGTGCAAATGTGCTAGGTATAAATATTGTTAATATTATATTGAATTACTTTATTTGTACTACAAAAGTTTATATAGTGTTCATTTTATAGATGAAGAAATTAAGGTTTGGAAAAGTAAATTCTGATTTAGGGTTAAAACTAAAATCTTTCTGTTTCCCAAATCAAATTTCCTCATAAATTTATATTTACAGAAAAAACAGTAGGTCACGTCATATAAAGCAAAGGTAAAGGGCCTAGGATTTAGCTCAGTGGTTCTGCTGCCTGCCTCACAAGCACGAGGTCCCAAGTTCAATCCCCGGTACAGAAAATAAAAACCAAAACAAACAAATGTAAAAAGTAGTA